GGCAGGGGGGGGGGGGGGGGGGGGGCTCATAGTCGTGCATGCCGTAGTCGTTAGACCATTTACCTCGCAACCCCACAAAGCCGGGACGGAGCACGCCAGGTTCTCACCGGACAAGGCTTTCACATCGCCAAGCGCGAAGCGCCGTGTGGTATTCGGCGAGTCGCCCTAAACATTTTCTCAGGCCTTTCTCTATCCACCCCTCATCCACGGAATCCTGCGCTTCCAACAAATTCTAAATATTCAACACACCGTAGCGTTGGATATATATATATGTTGAAGTTCACTCTTCTCATACCCGGCCCGGTGCGTTCTTCTATCCGCAGGCTGCTCACTTCATAGATCCCACCGCGGAAAGCATTGGAGAAATGATGCAAGCTTTTGACGTAGGGGAACATCATTTTGAGCACTGCTCCAACAACACGTGGCCCTAGTGAAAAGCTTGCCTCCGTGCTATCGTTGGTGCTGATATTCGTAAGGCTGCTGGTGCTTCTGCTCCTGCTCGTGTCATGATGTTGTTGCCGCAACGTCGGTGTTACGCCAGTGAATACCCATAATGTTTTTCGAGTTTTTGCCGCTCTCGTTGCTGTCGTTGCTGTTGCCTCTCCCCGCGGCTGTGATTGATGCTCGAATATTCGTCAGGGCTTGCTCGCTACGGCACGCTTGTACTGTTGGGTATTGACGCGGCCAAGGTTTCGGTGACACCGCCTCAGCTGATTGATGGGAGGAAAAATTGTCACCTGGCCGGCGGGGACTGTACGCGATTCGCAGGCCAGATCCAGGGACGGCGGGAGGGGTCACAAGAATCTTGAGGAAAGGATGGAGATACTATACCGCTCTCAATGTGTGTGTTTTCCTCCAAAGTTCGGGTGACATTGGCAATTCCCGGTTTAACTGTAGACAACTAGGGCAGGGCGAGTAGCACGGACGGGGGGGAAGGTATGTGACACCATGCAGAGAAGAAGAAACATCTATATATTTCGGCACGGTCGTGCATGATGGTGAGTAACTCCCATTCTTCCCCTTTGTTGACGTTGTTTGCAGGATGCGATGGAGTTCGCCCATATGCACCAGATCGCCTCCAAGACCGTGTCCTTCGAAGGCATCGGCAATGCCCCCGAGGCCTACGCGGCAATGCGTGATTGCGTCTTCCTTGTGCTGATCGAGGTGGTCGACTCCGAATGGCGCGGCAACCAACCGCCGTTCCTGCAGCAAAGCTGCCCGGACGCATCGTATGAAGTGACACTATTTTGAATAAAACTGTCGCTGATCTACCTGTGGCGGCGAAAGCAAAACATTGGGAGAGGGAGAAGAGTCAAACAGAGAGAATAATAGAGAGAGAGGGAGGGACTGAGGGAGATTATCAGAGAGAGAGGGAGAGAGAGAGAATCACAGACAGAGAGGGAAGGTGGCGGGTTCCGTGTTTTCTTTTCCATGTTTCATTCCACTTACTTGTTTTGCCGTCGCCCCACCACTGTTCGCAATACAGGGCGGCGGGGATCACGTTATTTGCACCGAAGAACGTCTGTAGCCCTCAGTATGTGCTGAGGCCACTCGTGGTAGCACGCAACCTCACCCTCGAAGTAGGATTGCCCCGGAGCGCTCGCACCCCTCTGCCTGGGGTCCCAATCTCCGATTCTACACGTAGTGCTGGATCACAGCTACAGTAGTTTTGTACCACAACTTGTTTGTCCATGTAGAGATCGTACATGTGCAATCGTTTGGCATCTCGTGGGGCAACTTCGATGGGTGCCACCTTGCACCTTTGGCGCCATTGTAGCACGGAGGGCACAGCAATGGGCAGGCCGTCACCCGAGGAGTAAAAGAAAATCGTTAAATAATGCGTCATAACTCTAGCAGTGGCGATGGAACCAAAACACCGCGGTTGTTTTCGGCGGTAGGCGGTTTGAACGTTTTTCGGCGATGACGACTTCGATAAAGGCGGAAACGGCAATTTTTGAAACGGCCATAATTCTGCGGAGTGAGTGGCTCACGAAATTGTAATAGGGTGCCCCGTAGAGTCGAGAAACCTCAAAACAATTACATTACTTTTCGACGGCCAGGCGAAACGTCATCGGCGGCTATCGGCCGAACTATGTAGGCACTACGCAACAAAACATTTCGGTGAAAGAGATGGTCACAAAAACTTTGTCGTAGTGCTGAAGTGCCCAAGATTATTACACGGTGCGCGCGGAATGTGCCCCTGTCCATTCAAATAAATAGCGAAGGCTTCTCCCGAACAGGAACCTGACCCAAAATCCAGACGAACCATAAAGCAGACCGAACACCGAAAAAGCTTGACACACGATAGTCGCGCCTCCTTGAAACACACAACAAAATCGACAGGTCGCCATGACTATACTCTTCAACGCACTCCTTTTCAGCCCGTCCGTAGCGCGAGATAACTCTCATACTCAATTCTCACGACACAAGATCGCAACAGCACCAACCGACAGAGGTGCCTGACCTAGCACATCGCCCAAGGCACGGGATGGAAGCGTAGCATGCACGTGAAAGCCAATCTCTCCAGCATATCTCGTTCAAGAGCAGAAACTGAGATTTGCCTAGAGTGAGATGCTGGGTCAACAAACAAGCGCACCCTCCTGCAACCACCAAGACCACGTGTCATTTCTACAGTACTCTCCTTCATATGTGGAACCAAAAAGCCATTCCGCTCGAGGCTGGCTCCGCCGCCCATCACCCCAGTGAGCGAGTCGCACTGGCCCAAGAGTGTGCCGAGTTTCAAGCCTACACTCCAAGCTCTCAGCACAACAACGAACGCCTCAGAAAGGAGCTTCCCGTGTTAAATACTCCTTTCGTTGCTCGCGTTCGTCGGTCCAATCGTCCCCCAACTTCCTCAGGCTTCAGATTTCCTCCCCCTAGGGTTTCCCCCAGCAACATGTGGGTGTCACGCGCAGCCTCCGGCAACCCAAGTCCCGAGGAAGTGCAAGCACTGTTTCTACCACCTCCCCCTGGCCTACCTACGCGACATTCAACAAGACATGGTCCATGCCGTTAAACGACAAGATCCACATCAGGAGGAAGACCGTGAGAGATGGCAGCAATCCCTCCCATTTCAGGCCCTGATCACCGTATGACAACTCGTCCGCCTCGACGAATCTCGCGTAGTACAAGTAAGTGGCCCCAGTGACGAAGGCGAATCCCCTTCGTAGACGCCAAGCGGACAAGCACAAAGACGGCGGCGTCATTCCTCAGAAAAGTCAAACCGCAGGAGCGGGCGGACAGCTCGTGTCGCCACAACATGCCACTGGAAGTCCGAGACTTGGACGGATCCAAATAGTGTGGGGAGATAATCGCAGGGTTTGTTCGGGCGGACGGTGACTCGTGACTCGTGCGGTTCGGTGCATGCACACACATATGGTGAAAAAGATCTACATTACCATTCATTCAATAAACCCCGCTTTGGCAGTGTCTCAGCGGGGAAAGGGGCCAGCGAAAGTCGTCATGGCGAACCGAAGCCCTGGCTAGGCCAGAAACTTACTGGTCGGGGTGTGCATCGAACCCCACGAAAAAGTAGGGGTGACTTCAATGAATCATTTGTCATCCACCACCCTCTTGTATCGCGACATGGCCCATGCACCCGCCACGGGAAAGCACTTTGGCTGTACTTGCCTGTATGAGAGCCTTGTGGACGCCGGCGAAAGTGGAAAAAAAAAAAAGGTCTCTACCATCCAATGATCATCCGCCATTTGGCGCTTCCCTTTCGACTGCGGGGACATTTCGCCTCAATGATTGGTTTGGTCCCCGACCGGGGGAGGGAGGGCACGGAGGATAGACAAGTATGGTGTTCTTGGTGTGTTTGGCGCCGAACGTTGGTCATTCACCTACTTAACAGTGTATTTCTGGAGGTTAGGAGGAAAGTCTTGATGCACAGTCCGCGCCATCCCTTACGATTCATGTGCGCAGAGTAGACAACACACGAGCCACATATGTCTAACAAAGGTCCAGGAACAAGAATCAGGCAATCACGTGCCGCTCAGTGACGAAGCAAACGCGCTCACAACTTGCTCACCCCACGAGCCCGAACCATCCAGTGACTCCCGCGACACCCACACATATCCCCGCCACCGCCGCCATGAATTGTCTGAACCAGTGGACGCATACGGGAAAGTCTTCGAATGTGTCCTGCGGACAACATTAAAAACCGGAATAGCAACGCCGTCGCGGCGACGGCAGCAGCAGCAGCAGGAGCGCGGTGAATTGCCTAGATGCTCATGAGCGAGCGGCCAACAGAAACCACATCGGAGGAAACAAACATGAACCAAGTAGCAGCACCAGCACAACAAGAGTGGCACCACCTCAACAAGATGGCATTCTCCAAACCACTACGGCGAAAAAGAACAAGGGAGGTTGGTCGACTTGCAGTTTGGCGCGGCATATGCGATGAGACTGGTTCTGATTCGCCTACCCTTGTTGATAAACACCAAAAACCATAACCATAATTGTTTGTTGCACTCTTTATATTTATTATTGTTTGTTGCACTCTTTATATTTATTCATTTGCTCCTTGACCATAACTGGGTAAAAGATGTGACCAGACCCAGCTGCTGCGAGAAACTTTCTAAATGTGTGGGTAACTATGTGAGGGTCCTCGCAGACTTTACCCGACGGCACTATCGTGGTTAAGAGGAAAAAAAAAACGGTGTAACAGCCACTCGCGTGGGCTGGAGAGATCTAGCTAGCACACGGCACTCAGGCTTAGCTCCGCGCTCGCCCCGTGATCTGAATGTACGAAAACCAAGTGGATGCCGGCAACGCACTGATGGACTCAACAGTGAGCGGAACAGTGGTTAGCGCAAGGGTGGGACATCGCTGCCGCCGCAAAAACACTTGGATGCTAGAGGCCATGGATGTCGCGGTGTCTTCTCAGACAGATCAGTACCAGGTGGGGGCACAGTCTACGGCGTGTAGATAGGCTGAAGGCGTTGAAATCCCATAAGTGGGAGTTAGGGTGCGGCACACACGTGGGTTGCCAGGAAAAAAAAACAGAACGCTGGGGCTATGTACCCGTGTTCTTACGGCGAAAGAAAAAACGCCATCACGGCCTTCTAGTCCCCCGACGGACGCCTACGCAAAGACAGCAAGATTCGCACGAAAATTGACCAGGGAGGGGGAGGGGGCACACACACCCTAACCCCAACCCTTAACCCCGGACTTGGCCGATTCCACACTTTTTCCTGCGTAGACTTGTCTCCCGACAGGAAGGTCGCAAGAGGGAGGAGATTGGACAACGGGGCCCGAAGAACAACTTGTGTGCGTACGCAGTACCGAGTCGTTGAAGCTTTGGCTTCAAACATATCTATTTAGTCGCACTTCGCAAAGCGCACGAGAAAAGCCGCAATGTCAAAAAGGGTCAATAATACATCCACACATCAGACTTTGGAACACTTCCCGAGAATTAGCGACCGGGATTTCACGGGGATAACCGCAAAAATGTACAGCAGTGCCATCGGCCGGGTGACTAGCGGGGAAATCTACTGGTAAACACCCGACTAAAAACGCCCTACTACTACTGTAGACAAAAATATCTAAGTACCACTTTTCCCACCAATCTGGGCATGCCTGGTGAGCACATTGAACCCAGATTAGCGGAGGTACAGAAATCTTCCTCCAAGCAAAAGGTGGCAGTAGTCTGTATTTAGTACACCAAGGACACGCCACTGGGAATCTACAACATACAGTAGCTACCCGTTGACGAGATTGTGGACCCACGTGGAGGCCGCTGAGCCCGGAGAAGCTGCTGCTGTTTCGAGGGCAAACAACTGCTGAAGTTTCCCTTCAAACATTCCCAACAAGATCATGGCGGTATCTCATGTCCATGAATTTTGTAGCACGAGATAAATGTTTCCTGGATTGTCTCCTTTCGTCATCCGCTGCTTGTCGCTGCTGAGCAACCACCCGAAAAACAAGGTTCTCATTTTTACCGTCAGAAAAGCCCGGTCTATTTGCTGGATGGAGAGCACTACGAGCACAGAGCGCAGTTGATGGTTCCCATAAATATATGGACACTGCGAGGTTTGGTCAACCAGGAGGAGAGAAAGGCGGGACTACCATTGGAGACATTCCAAGCCACGGCGGGCGATCAACGGCGCAACAGCAGTACGGAGGAGGGAGATGTGTGCTGTACACACATACCTTATCCCATCTGGCGCCTCGCTGCAACCCCTTAGACCATTTTGTTGAGCAGCTCTGCACGAATGTAGGCTCCGCCTCCGCCACAACTGTTCTTCTGCTCCGGTTACTCATGGCTTCGCTCTCAACTGCTGGTGCGGGCTTCCGTCCTGTTGTCCGAGCTGCTGCAGCTGCCTGCTGTGCACCATACCCGCCCACCCCCCCACCCCCGCCTTGTACTCTATTCCTGCGGTATGCGTCCCCCCCCCGCCCGTTGCCTTGCGTTGCCTTGCATTGCCGTTGTACCGATGTTTTGGGAGTGCTCACACACACGCAGCGCGACTCTACTCATTGAACAACTATGATGCACCAGCTAAGGAAACCTTCCCATCCTCGTGCAGTGGCTTGTGCGAGACTCCTTCACTCTTCTCCTCCGAAGAAGTCGTCGTTCGGTATGGTAAGAAACAGTGCACCTTGCACTTTGTGCACGAGAGGAAGGGTTTTTCACAGGTTTTTCATGTGTTTGTTCGGTGTTGAAAACGGCGGGAAAAGGGTACAGCATACGAGTACACCTTTCCAGCCAATATAGGGTACCTCGTACGATGAATACGTAGTACGAGCACAATTTGCGCAGCTGCCGCCCCTTGTACCCCAAGACGTCACTCCGTGCCGGGATCTAGAGCGTAGACTGCACGGCAACCCACACAAAGAAAGTACAATATTTGGATCACAGTCCGCCCGCCCGGTGGACCAGGCCCGAAGTCAGTGTTGGTGTGGACCTGGTGTGCACTGCTGGTGTGGACCCTATGTTGCAGAATTTTCTGACTGTCGAAGTCAAGGGCTGACGGGATCAAGCAGGCGAATATAGGCATATAGGCCAGATAGATATAGGCACTGTAAGCAGTAAGCAGACCAGCTCCGCCCGGTGAGGAAATCCTCGAACCCTCGAAAGAAAAAGGTTTGTTCTAAAAAGAGTTCAGAACCCGAGGCGTACCGGAACACAGAACACGCACGGGTGTAGCTACAGAAGGGTTCTCGTTCGTCGGGTCATGCTTTGTACATATCTACGAATCCTCGCTGCTGTAGTCTACAACATGTTAGGGTTAGCTCACAAACGGTGCTCAAGTTCGAGACTTTGAGCTTTGTGAGCACTCAATCATTTGTTACCTGCCAAGTTTGTTGAGTTACTACACTGTAGGACCAAAGGATGCTGAAATTTTCCGTCAACGGAGAGTACACGATATTGAAAATCAAGTCAAGTATACCACAGTAGATAACCCTGCCTCGACCGAAGGACACAAGAATGTTTTATGGGTCGACAGGGATCCATCCCAATGCGGATTTCCTAGCTGATCAGGCAGCCGATCAGGCATGCCTGAGTTTTTGCCTGAAGCCCCTTCGTGTGAACCCAGGCATGCCTGACTTGCTGCCTGAGAGGGCGTTTCTATGAGATGTTTGCCTGAGACCGTGTTTAGTTGCCTGACTGCTCCTATATAACCCCAGGCAGCTCCCGGCAGCACACGGGGAAAAGCCAGGACTTTATGCCATCGCTATGCTTTAGAAAAATATTACATGAAATTTGTGTAGGTTTTTTGTTTCAGGAAAAGTGCAGGCGAACACCACGCATCTCAGGTGTGATTGTACATCAGGCAAAAGCCTTATGTTTTACCTATGCCCAACATTTTTAGCCTGCGGCGGGCCTCGCTGCGTGTGCCTGAACACGCCTTCGGCGTGCCTGATCGGCGAGGGCTTCCCAATGCGCTTCTGTGACCGCTGTGAGGAATAGGTCGAGCGAACAGGACGCAACATATCCTCTGCTATTCCAATGCTATTACCCCCGGGTTGTAGAGTCAAATGAGACCTTTTCTATGCACGTATGCCTATATGGCTAGAGCTATTCGAATCAGACACGCCCTCGTTTGTGCACCTACTTCGGAGGGCGTGTCATTGTTGATATGCTTGCTGTGCTTGTTGTGAAGGTCATGGTGTCTCTCTGTCGTACGCTCTGTACACAGGCCTCTGCGAGTATCTGTTGAGTCTGCCCAGACCTTTTCCTCAACAGCGGCAGCTCCGCCCTTCTCAAGCCACCTGAATCTGCTTTAGGCTTACCTTTCTGTTTTTCCTGCCCTTGGACCAGGCCTTCGACATTGACGGGGTGCTGGTGAGGGGACAAGGGGTCCTACCCGGGGCCCGTGAGAGCCTTAAAGCTCTGGAAGATGCCCGTGTTCCGTATGTGTTCGTCACGAATGGGGGGGGTGAGCGATTTTTGTACGTACTTTGCCTTACCGGGTTGAATGGTAGTGCCTTTGTCATCCGTTGCAAGACGCGAGATAATCTCCTCGCGCAACCATTAATTTGCCGGGGTCGGTTGGGGTAGCAGGGTGGGGCGGGACTAAGTCCCGGCTACACCCAGCCGTTCGGAAGGCTCTCCAACACGGAATCCGAATCGCGTTGATCCGAGGCGTGTCACTTGCTACAGGTTGGTAAGGGTAGTCACCACGTCACTGACTGCTATTCGAGCGAACCCGTTGGGGCGGGGACAATGTCCTGCATACAGTGAACCCGCAACCCGCCTGCTTGTTCCGCGTGCTTCGCTTTTTTTTACTCTCATGTGCTATGGGTTTGGGTGCTTATTTTGTTTCTCGATCCGTTCTGATTCCTCGCCCCAAGGCTGCACGGAGGAGGCGAAGGCGAGAGACCTGACCTCAAAGTTGGGAGTGCAAGTGCACCGATCGATGGTGGTTTTGTCGCACTCTCCGATGAGGGCGCTGGCACCGGAATATTCCGGGAAAAGGGTGATGGTACTGGGGTCCTCGGCCAAGAAAATAGCCGAGGAGGACCTCGGCCTGCTAGACACGGTTGAGTGCACAGGTTTGCCACGAGCCTGGACTCGCAGACCGATTCAGCTTTGGTTTTGAGATTCCACGCACAGCGCTGAGGTTGAAGGTACTCTGCATGCTTGCTTTGCCTCACCAACTCCTGTACCCCCGGGCGTTGTTCTATCCACACAATAGGAGGATTGTCTTTGGTACCGAAGGTTATCCTGGTGCTACTGAGTGGGGCGCTCTCGTGTACACGGCGGCAATATTTACTCGCTGCTTGCCAGGTTCAGAATTCCGTTTGGCGCATGAATGACTTCGAGTTTCGGCGGCGTGCGTCCATCGTAAAGGGGACTGTACTGGTGGGTGGTTTATCGCGTTGGCCAGCCCTCGCTATTGTTGCGACTTAGATTCGCGCTCAGCATGCTGCAGTCCAACGCAAGCGATAGCTTTCTACCTCCCCGTGTACACGTCCCGTCTTTCCTCATTGCAAACTCGTGTCTGCCCTCCACAGGTAACACCGGAGGAGTTTGCAGGCGAGTGGCCTGACATTTTTCATTTCACTGGAGACGGTTACTACATCCCAAGACATTTTCCAAGAAGGTGCTGTTCGTGGGCTCTTCCTGAATCTCGTGCTGTTGCGTAATATGATTTACTGCATTTCACTGTTGTGTTGCTTGGCAGTGGAGAGATTCATGACCAACCTATCAGATTTGCAATTGCGATTTTTTTAGCGCCATCCACGTTTTGTCATTGTGCTCGTCAAAATATCTCGCCGCAAAACCAGGCGGGCAACTACCACACCGGCTGAAGCTGGGCAGGAGTGTGGGCGCTCTTCGTCACGGGCATTAGGTTTCCCTCCCTTCTCCAATTGTGGGCCGTCCCGGCCGATTTGATGTTGTCTTCCCTCTCGTAGTGCAGGCTCCACAAGGTTGTTGTAGCCAAGGAGTACATCACACCTGTCGTCTCACGAGGGTATCTATCTACATGCAGTGTTCACTATTTTTGTTTCAGCAATAACATTCGTCATTTTCCGTTTCTTTCAACTGAGGAAGTCTTGCCGAAGGCGAGCGTTCTCGATCTGTGTCCGCCGTAATGGTGCTTCATGACCCCTTGGATTGGGCGCTCGAGGCTCAAGTTGTCGTCGACGTCCTTCGCGGAGGTGCGCCCGATCACGTTGTTGCAGTTTCGATCCAGGTACACTTGCGCCCGTTGACCTATTCGTCGTGAATTGTCTGCTGGTGGAAAGAAGCACATGTTCTAGAGCGAACGCGTTCTGGATAAGGTGTTCAAACAAGTGTTGACTTCTCCCTCCTGCACGTGTACTTTGTCTTAGCCAAAGCGTCCCAGTTGTCGGGTGGCAAGGGGTGGGCATCAAGGTCTAATAGGTTTTGGTGTATTCGCGCAAACTACGAACATCCTCCTCTAGTTTGACGTACCTGCAGCTCGCTGAACTCGGCAACGAAACGGAAACGTGGGCATGCAAGAAGTTTGCGACCGTTCAATTTCTTACTCCACCTTGTCCGGACATCTCTCGCACGTTTGATCAGGAGACCCCCCGGGGTCTGGTGGCGCCTCACAAACGCCCATGTATATTTCCAACCCGGACTTCGTTTTTGCCTCCATGTATCAGGAGCCAAGATTTGCCGCGGTAAGTGGGTCGACCCCGTAGAAGATTCGATATTCGACCGTCCGATATGTGGGGACCAACGGCAAATATTCATGCCGCTGAGTGTGAGGGAAAGTTACCGCTTGGCTCACCGGTCGTCTCGGCGGGACGGTGGCCAAAGGGTAGACGTGACATAATCGCTGCTACCTGCCATCCTTTTCGGGCGACTGCGCCTTCGTGTTGCACTCAATGAACAGCGAGAGTCCTCCTGCCCTGCATACTGCTCGCATGCGATGACTCGACGGGGTTTCATGAGGTGATGTCGGTAGAGGTTCCTGTTTTGCCAACCTGACCGTGTCGGATTTCTTGGTGATGCTTTCTTTCGTTTTGCCGGCATTTGGACAATTCAGGGCGCATTTGCTGACACCGTGCGAATGCTGTACGCTAAGAGGTTCGCGACGAGCGAGCCAACAATCGAGGTGTTCGGCAAGCCCACCATTTCGACCTTCGACTACGCGAGGCGCTTGCTGGAAGAGCGCGATGGAGTCATCCGTCCCCAGCAAGCAACCTCGAAGATAGAACGAATTTACATGGTTGGAGGTGTGTCACGTTCTCGCAGTAACTCCTGTCCCTGTTGGTGGCGGACCCCGACCGCCATTCCCCGCGTCATTCCTCTGCTGCTTCTATAGAATCGTGTTTTGCGACTTAGTGCTTGTTGAACAGAGGTGCGCCTACTGTAAGAGGACTCGCCTTCATGGCAGATTTAAAGAGGTTGATGCGCGCATTTTCGCGTCGAACGTTTGTTGATCGAAATCCCCAGAAACTTGACAACACCCCATGTAGCAAAATTGTTTGGCCACCGATGTTGTGACCAAGATTTTGTGCGTGCTTGCATTTGTCAAACCGTGCCTCGTTCGTCCCTGTCGCAGACAACCCAAGTGGCGATATTCGAGGAGCAAATGCCGCCGGACCTCCTTGGGTGTCCAACCTCGTGAAAACAGGCGTTTTTCGTGACACGGGCAATCGGGGCAATGACGCCAAAGACCCGGCACACTTTGTCCACGACGACGTCAAAGAATGTGTCAATTTTGCAATTGAACGAGAAGCCCGGGGGGGCGATGAGTATCCACGTAATCAAGTCTGATTTTGCACCGATTCCATGATGGAGCGTTGGGGGAGTGCGAGCAGTGAGAGCATGTGTATATTCCAGGAGCAATCACCTTGAAAGAGCCAGTGGAGGTGATGGCGTCTCTTGGCATTTCCTGACAAAGCTGGAGCGCGATTTCTTCGCCTTTTCTTCCGATCAAACCAAAGGAGTTCGTTGGGTGTGAGAATTCACCAACGATTTATCCGCTGCAATCCGAAAAGTTATTTTCTACTATTCTTCATCAGTTCAAAGGCAAGGCTGCTGCCACACATCGCCAGGTTGATCTCGACACACTGGTCGAGCCTTCGAACCAACCGATGTGTCATCAATACACGAGAGATCATTGCAAATATTCATGCAGTATCTTCCTCCCTGCTCATCTTCGGTTGAACAACTCTGCAGGTCTCTAGCATAGGGGGGCAGATGATTTTTTGTGCGATTGTTTCGGCCTAATGCTCGTATCGTTTCGGTCACGGATTTCAAGCCAACGACGATATCAACGACAAATAGAACTCTTGCCGGTATTGCCCCGAGTTCACGTTGAGGGGAAAAGGGGCTAGTAGCGGGCGAGCTTGAGCTGCCCTGCCGCCCAGGCCACCGCTTCCGGAGAAGCATGGACACGCTCGCGCCGATACCCGGGGTGGGCTGCAGGCGATGCGAGGTGTCCAGATGCAATAGGGCGTTGTCGCCTTCCTGCCGTGATGGGGAAGGCGGCTGGGGGGCGCGCTCACCGGCGGAATTGGCCTCGCTCCCCGACGGGAGCACGTGCTTGTTTTGGAATGCCATGCTCGCTTTTCGTGCGGTAGCACCGTACGTTGGAGATAAGGGTCGGTTATACGGAATAGAAAGAGGTAGAAGTTCGGCGATCCTTCGTGGGTTACGCCGCACAGTGACCGCTGGTGATTTGACTTGCTACTTGCCATGAATCTACTACACCGTATCGCTCCTTCCGTGATGCAAGGCACGTTGGGTGCCGGAGGTCCGCAGACGAGGAGATCGGTATATTTCTTGTCCCCAAGCTCAACACACCCCTTATTCGCTCGGCACGCGAACGACACGAAAACGTTGGGGGGGCCTTACATGTACGTTTGCATACACTGATACGGGGGCGCGAATAATCCGCGGCCAACAAGCCATACCGGTCCTGCCCTTCCGTGTCGGATGAGAAAAGCTTCATAAAGTCAGGAGCGTGTACGCGGCGCTCTTATGGCTCCCGTTTGCTGTTTGTCTTGACGTGAAAAGGCGGCCTGGCGCGTTATACCAAAAATCGGAGCGGATCGATAGAGCGGTTCCCTGCCTGCGGCATGCGCCCGAAAAGCTGAACGACGGGGGGTTTGACTTCCGGTCTCCCTGGAAAAGACAGTCAATATTGGACTCCGAATACCACGGTCGCATGCACGGGAACAAGAGAATATTTGCTCTTGTAGCAAGACGAAGGGCCAGATCACAGGCGCAAGACTAAACAACAATGGCATCGTCCTTGCAGGTTCCGATCAGGCCCATTGCGCCAGGTTTGAAGGTCCTCTACTTTGATGGGGGCTAAAATTGATTGTGCCACTGAACGCAGAAAAGTCGTTGATACCTACGACTGCACACCCCGAACGTCCTACTCAACATATCCCACATCTTCCCGTCCCGACGAGTGCAGAAAGGAGCGAGGATTCTGGAAAGGAAAACTGGCGTCAACCTCCGAAACCATGCAGCATTGTCCCCCAGCAGTGCCGAGTGGACGAAAACGTGTATTTTGGTGAGGAGTCGTCCGCATGAACTCTCACTAAACGCAGGCAACTTTGCCACAAAGACTCGCCAAAAGAGAAGAGCAGTATGGAGTAGCACCGCCACGGACAAAACAAAAACTTCAGTATTCAACTCCATATATATCGAAACACACGTTTGGGAGTAATGAGTGCAACTGCATCCTCTCATCACATTTCCGAATATAGTTACCACACAGTATTTCAGGCACGTATGTAGCCATGCGAAGGTGCCAAAGCGCTACCGACGCCTCCCCGTGCACACAAACCAGCTTAACTACTCTGCGCGCATCATGCTTCGCAAGGGTAAGGCGCTGTCAAAGGAAGCTCAGAATCTCACGGAAGACTCCACTTTGGTCGGGACGATGCAGGAGCCACACCACCGCGCCCCTGCAACGGATGTCTCTTGCTTGACCACCATCAATGGCGTCACCGGCTTGCACCGGATTATCTGGGGCCGTTGGCACCCTCTGTTCACTACACTGCCCTCCTAGCGCGCAATCGTGATCGGTGTCCTCCGTCGCCAACCCGTCGTGAAGAGATTCGTTCTTCCCGTCCTTCCACCGTCTAGTAGACAACGATAGCAGCGACATTGAGGTACCAAGAACTTGTGTGGCATCAAGGTGTCGAGCCCGCATCATCACCAACCATCCCCTACGTCCCCACTTGCTAGCGTTTCTCAACATGCCACAGATGCGGTCAGCGACTGAAGTCTCCACGGCGTTTAACGTGCAAGGAGTTCGGCTAGTCCCTCCCATCGCCCTCCCCATCGCCGTCCCCATCGCCCTCCCCATCGCACGTCCCTGCCGCGTCTCGAGTGCATCTACTGCCACCATATCAAACGGCGAACGGCCTTCGTCACAAAGCAACGAAGTGCTGGCATGATGCCGCAACAGCACCTCCACGGCACCCTCGCGGTTATAGAAGCAGGCAACATGTAGGGCCGATCGCCCTACTCGGTCAACGCAGTCCACTTTTGCTCCGGCGAGGAGAAGTCGTTCCAACGGCCTGCAGAAACCCTTCTTAGCTGCTACATGAAGGGGTGGACATTCCTCCCGATCCTTGCCAACGTCCGCTCCGGCAGCGACCAAGTCGTCAATGATGCCCTCTCTGTTTCGAGATGTAGCAACGCTTAGTAGGTTTTGTTCGGGTATCATGACGGATGCTCTAGTATTGGATACTGAGGCTCCAGCAGCCAGAAGTTCGCGCACCACCTCCTCGTGGCCTTTGTGTACTGCGATCGACAGCGCAGTTTTCCCGAGATGGCCCTGCATGAGGCACTTGTACTCCAGCGCGGCCCCGGCCTCGATGAGGGCCTTCACGCAGCTCCGGCGCCCATTGGCGGCCGCGATATACAGAGCAGAGAACGGACGGGAGTGCGGACCGCCAACTTCGCGCACTATCGGAAGAAGACCACCCACTTCAAGAAGGGCCAGCAGAATGTCCAAGCTTCCCCCAACCGCGGCGGATACCAAGAGCTTCCGGCAATGTCCCCGGTCAAGTTGTGCGCCAAAAAACGACGGGAAGCCGTCGATAGCAAGGACATGTGAAAACATTTGAAAACTTCCGCCAACCACGGCGCCACATAGGAGGTCGAAGCCGTTTTCACGTGTCCAGACCTCCGCGCTTGGGCAACGAGCAAGGAGAGTAGAAAGTATTTCTACATTTCCTCCTTGCGCGGCTATCTGCATGAACCCCCATGTGGTGATCTCCGTCCAGAACTCCGAATCACTTCGGTATAGCGCATAGACATCGGAAAATATTTCCAAATTACCTCCCCTCGCAGCGCTTGTTAACAGTGAGCCGGTGTGATGTGTCCATAACTCTGAAACGCTCGGACAGACTCTGCGCAGACTGGAAAATATGTGAAAGTTTCCTCCTTCTGCGGCTGCAACGAAAAGACTCCAGCTGGTTTCCTGCGTCCAAAACCCCGAATCGCGAGGACAGACTGCCAATAGTTGATCAAAGATGCTGAGGTTAGCAGATCTTGCGGCCACTTTCACCGATATCGTCAGCCATTTCCGCCACTGTGCATCCGAGGCCAACCTGATGAAAACGTCAAGTATCCTCTCCCCGTGGGCCTCCCCGTGGGCCTCGAAAGCAGAGCAACCGCAAAACGATCTGAGGGCGTAGTGTAAATCAGGGTCTGCTGTCTGCAAAAAGCGCCGGAACACGTCCTTCCAACTGGACTCGGCTCTTGGCCCTTGTCCGTTTCTCTCCTGGTCCATGCGTATTAGTTTTGCTTCAAGGCCACAAAGCTGTGCCCTGCAACCCATGGTTCGTTCCGAAGACAGCAGAAGCGTTTCCTGGCAAGAAAAACAACAAAATGGGCTTTTGGGTCAACATTTTCATGCGGTCATGGCCGAAACGTCCAGCATGTATCAAAGGCGACATACTCCTGTAATTCAGGCTGCGACATTTTGAAGTTGAAACACATTGGTGCCCCGGCGTACTTGGGAGCAACTCAATTGAACGATCTGCTAGGGTTGCTCCAGGGTCAACGATCGAAGCGGCCGGTTGCGCACACAAACACACAATAAAATTGTAATTGTGTGTGTATGTGTGTGTTTATATTATTAGCATCGACCGCGCTAACCGGCTGACCAATTAAAAGACGTCAGTTATTGTGCGGTTGAAAACACAAAACTCTTCTATCTGCCATGAACTGGGACCCCGTGAGGGGGCAGCATGGGGGAGGCTAAACTATCCTTCGGATTAAAGACAGAAACAGCAGCAACAGAAGAAAACTGGACGCGTCTACCAAGGCTATTACCTTGTACTCTACTGGTAGTTCGTTTAGGTGTACTTTCACCATTATCCTCCTTGTTTTCGCTACCATCCTTCTGATCCTCGTTTTGACAAGAATCTCTGGGCAGTTCTTCCCTAGCCCTACGTTTCTTGCTTCGAGGAAGGTCAGGTCCGAACGCCCCTGCGAGAATCAACATTTGGCATCACCAAAAGCTGTTGTGAATGACAATGCGGTCCCATGTTTTTTGCCGTGTCCTGCTTTGGTCTCGCACCAATATCACCAGCCGGTATTTGCGTCTAATGTTCCTTGCAATATCGTCTGTGCCGCGCATACAGGACTATGACTTTCTGTATCTTGTAATTTTTTTTCTGTTTCACGAAACCAACGAGGACTCTATTGAATTTGGAAAGGCAATTAGAGGCACTGCAAATCGTACGAAAGCTTGCTCGGGACAATGTATGTGAGGGCTCGGGCTGTGGCTCCGACAGCAAGAACTTATTTTCTCTCTCTCTCTCACCCACAAACAAAAAAAGAACACGCACACACACACAGAAGACGACACAAACATCAGCTCTTGGCCAATTCGTGTGAGATCACCACTTCCACCACGCACGCTTGGTAGCGTGGTAGAAGGTAGGAGCAGCAGCAGCGGTAGACTGGTGGACTGACGTGAGTCGCTTGGCACTGGAGCTTCCAGTCGCATCGGCAATGAGTGGTGTCATGAATCAAGATTTTGTCACCACCATCACCCGGACCTGGACCTGTGCCACGATGCCCAACGGAAGTACGGTATTCATGTCCCCTCTGCATCAGCGAAGGATCAACGAACCTGACGGCGAGGAATCTGGCTACACACCAAAAACGTCAGTCATCTACATTATAGTATTTTTTGGTGAAATATTTCATGGAAGTCCATGGAAGTCCATGGACGTCCATGAAACCAATCCATTGACTTCCATGGACTTCCGTGAAAAATTTCATGGAAGTCCAT